GATCATAAGTTAGAGGGGAGTGGTTGATTGTCATCAGCACAGGTAACGCCCACTAAAAACAAATACTCCGGCACGTGCTCACGTATTGAAGAGATGTCACCGAAAATAGGTGCAAGAATATCTTCAGCAGTAATGAAATGGAGGTACTGTTAAATAAACTTTCACAAATGAAACATGTCATTTTCCAGAACGTCATTAATGGTGTTACAGGAAAATCAAAAAGCATAGAAGAGCAGTATGTAAGCCATTTAAAAGCTGAATGCACACAATATCATCAAAGGGTTTTATCGTCTTAATTTGCATCAATGGACCAATAGTAATCCTTTAGCCATTCATTATAAATACTCTAAAACACACAATAATGTCAATTTGATTGTGTGACATTTATACGTTCCTTTATCTTTCCTACTGTTGTTTTATTCTTATTTTGGAAAGTTTTCGCTCAACCACTGACCTAAGAAAAGAGCAAAAAATAGTAAAACATTAGTGAATCCCAGAAATCAATGGGATATGAACAAAATTTAGCGGTAAATTATGTTATATTGCTTCCTGCATGAGGCCCATTGTGTCACTTCATTTGGTGATAAAGTGACCCACCACAAACCCCCGAATTCATGTTTTGTCTGTCTTTGCACTTTCCACGTCCTTCAGCCAGCTGATAACACAGGAAAAACTATGAAAAATTACTCAAGATTGATGAGTGAACGTGACCACCATCTGGTATCCACTGTTAGTGTCCCCTCGCTGATGGCCTCTTCTGTGCAGGCTCTAATTGATGATGTGCACCGTCAAAGCCACAATCACGTGCTGCATTTTGTGGAAGCAGCAACAGACTGTAGCAAAATAACCACGGAAATATTTGCAATTCTTTTAAATATACAAATTAAAGAGGAAAATCAACACCCACTGTTTTTGAATCTTTTTAGCCAACAACAGTAACAGTTTGTGGTGGTCTGGGTGTTTGTTTACAGCAGAAGAAACAGAAACAGAACATAAATCTGCTTCTATTTTTATGTCTTGTTTATTTCTGATTGTCTCTGACCCAGTCATCAGTCATGAAGGCTCATGTTTTGGGCAGTATTTAGGTTTAACACGGCTCTGTGAAATAGGATTACTTTATATTACTTGAGAACATAATTTCCTTACTGTAAACTTCATTTGTTCATGAAGTATTCATGAATACTTTTACACAGAACGTGAATATTACGCTACGGAAAAAAATGACACTTTTTTCCAGATTTTTCTGAGCTTTCGCACTGCGAATTAAGGCAACAACCAATCACATTGTGCCAAATGGGTTGTGTTGCTGCTGTGTTTATGAAATAACAACACAAGGCTCCGTAGTCTGAACCAAGGAGACAAACTTTATTAGTCTTTTCAACCTTGACAAAGGCAGCACAGACCACATCCTCTCCTTCCATTCTTACCTTTCACAATAAAAGCCCTACATACCCTGTTTTATTTTCACAGACGAGTATTTAGCATTTCCGTGTCGTGTGTAACGGTCTTTAATCCAATATTTGGTTTGACTGGTTGCCTTTCTGTTGTTGATACTGCCTGCAGTGTATCCCAGTGCTATGAGTCAAAGTTCCCTTATTGCACAATGTTGATTGCTTAGGATTTAGACATCATGATTGTGTTGACTGGAAGGAAGAGTCCTTGCAAGGAATCTTAACTGTTGTTAATAGGGTGTCACTGTTGACCGTAGAGCCTCAGAGCGCTCAGTTTAATGTTTAATAAACATGTTTTCCTATGGAAGGAGCATCACACCATTGATGTTTCCACACACAGTGAGTTTTAAGGAAACGTTGTCTTTTAATGACTGTTCTTTTGAAATAATGGAACATTTTGAATAGTTCTGCTAACTTGAATATGGGCACAAGACAGCTGTTACATCTTTATACTGCACATAAACACAAGGAGGGGCCAGTGGTTGAACTTTTCTTTACTTGTTTGCTGCTCCTTTTAAATTTCATGGCTCTTAAAACTGCTTTAAAATTTGAATCTGAACAGAAAATCCACCCTAAAAGACAAACTTTTGTTTGACAAAAGTGAACTTGAATGCAGTGGAACATGCTGTGTCACTTTTTCTTAACCCACTAAAGCAGCTGACATTGTGCTCTTGAAGTTCCTCTCTTTATCAACACATACAAGTAGTTTCTTTCGGTGGAATTTAGCTGTCTTTGTCTGAACAGGACTTAAAGTAAACCTCTGTCCTGTTCAAGTCCTACATTTATGTGTCATCCCTGCTAATTTAAGGTGTGAAGAATGATTTAGTTTTTTCACTCTGGGCTTTATTTTCCATGTTATTGCAAGTTCTACTGCAGTTTAGGTGTTGAAGGGATGTTGGTTAATAGTTACTAGTTAAGTGTGTTTTGAAGAACAGGACTCCCGATGAACTGGCCCACATTAAAACAGACCGTCTATCAGCAAATAAAAAAGGTACATTTGTAAAGTATCTACAAAAATGTCATTATTACATATCTGGCTGGTATGTTTTTAGCCTTAAATAAGAGATTGTGAACCACTAACATGGTTCAAGAGATGATCCGTGCACAGCTACGGGCTACGTAGCATGTGAAGGCTCCATAAACACAAACTGTAAGTCAATCAGCTACTTGGGCTGAGAGCCACAAACCAGCTTTGTGTTTTTGGAAAGCAGCTAAAGCCGGCCTGCCAGAACCTCTGCTGTAATAATATCACTGTCATACCACTGTTGGCTCAATGGCCACCGAGGGGATTTCCACCGTGGATGATTGTAACATTTAGAGCTGTGATCTTTCTGAGAACTAGACAGAGTCTTTACCTGTAAAAAGATATTTACTCATTATGATTACAACAGTTAATATAGCTGTTAACATTTAACTTCTGCAGAAAACAGAGCCTTGGCAACTATCCTCAATGATTTCAGAAACATTTGTGCACACTTGTGATCACTACTTATTTTTTAAGAGTAAAAAAACAAATAAAAATGCTGTTTTCATCACAACCCAGTGATATTTATGGTTGGCTAAAAGATGAGGGTTAATTTAGAAAGCAGACATTTGAACTTACACAACAAGGAGTCCTGTTTTCATAGACCGGCTACAGGCCGCCCTTTCATCCTCTCTGTGTGTTTTGAACTTGAATCAGTCTCACTGATCTCTGGCCCGTGGTCGAGGACCCAGAGCTAAATCCTGTGATTGGCTTTGCCCGAGCTCAGTCCCTCTGAGCCCGAGCCCTGGTGCCTGATTGGACGAGGAGGACGTGGGAGGGCATCGGCGCATTATTGGATGAGAGGCACAAAGGAGAGTATGGTTAAAGTTCCACCTTTTAGGAAGGCTTAGTTTTACTTTCGCTATGAGTGACATTCCACCACTGCCAGCAAAGTCCAAAGTTACCTTATGACAACTTGTACTCAGCAAGAAACAGAAACTGTCTCTCATGTTGGGAATACTATCTGGGAATAAGGTGGACTGAGGTGTTTCTGATCTTACAACTGAGCTCAGGGAGAATGGTTGGTGCCGATGAAAGCTGGAGTTATTGTCTTCAAAGCGGGTAGGAGCTGCTCTTGTTCTCCATTCTTTGACTTTCTGGCGATGTCTTCCTCTTGCCCTCTGTCCTTCTTTAAGCCTCTAACTCTTTCTGCCTGTCTGACTTGATATAAATGTTATTATCCCTCTTGTATCTTTGACAGTTGAGGCTGCTACTCAGCTACGCTGGAATCTCTGTGATACAGTATTATAGTGTCAGACCATCAAGTGTTTCTCAAGAAACAGCCTCCTCCTCTGTTCTGACTGTAACACTTGACCACTCGATTACATGAGCTGTGTTACAGTGCCTCCTTTTCATTCCTCTACCGGTGCTGCTTATTGCACAGAAATAGAAGGCTCTGCTTGTACTTGACAGCTGTAAGCTGTAAACGTGTGAAACTGCATGAAGGTGAAGAGAACAGGTGGCAGTTTTGCTCTGAGAAGTAGCTGTTGAACAAACTAAAGCTCTTCTTCCCCCCTTCTCCCTCCCTCCCTCCCTCTCTCCCTCCCTCTCTCCCTCCTTCCCTAGGCAATACCACTTGAACAGCAGCACTACCGCCACCACTCCGGATGTGCACATGGACATGTACTCGGGATTCCCTGACGTGGACTTTTCCAGCCTCAACCTCCCTAGGAATGGAGACTTCCCCCAGGTTGGTTTTAATGGTGGCTCGTTCATGTTTGCATTAAAGTAACACTGACAAATTGTAGTGCCCACGACACTGTGAAAACACTGTTGGATGCGTTCTAGTTTCTCTTCCTCCCATCTATCCCTGCCTTACTTGCTCATCAGATGGAAGGACTAGCCTCCCACCCTCTTCTTTCATCATGTGCTCCTTGTGTATTCAGCTCGGCTTAATTTACCAAGGAGCAGCCTGATTAAAGGCTAGTGTTGTCTAGACGGGTGCAGCGGTACCTGCCCCGTTCCTGTCCAGGCATGTCATTAATAAGAAGCTGTAATTTAATGTCCTTCTACGCTTCCAGACTTCATCTTCAGAGATCGCTGTTAGGTAAACCCAGAACCTCTTTGTAATGTTCCGTCATGCTTGGAGTCCACACAGTGAGATGTGGTAAAGGTATTTTTTATTTAAGTGGATTAGTTTAGTGTCTTTTGGATTATTCCCAACCTGTAGAGACACAACTATAAGACCAGGACGTTCATTTCAGGATGCAGCATTGTTAGCGAAGTGAAGCTTCAACTCGCTCATATATTTAGCTCATCATTCCAGGTGATTACTGTCCATCATTTGCATTTTCTGTGCGCTCGTGTGTCCGTCCAGCCAATTCCTAATGGTTAGAGTCGTATGAATAGGAGACAATCGCAATGACACAGGCCAGCGAGTTTCTAATCGGAGGCCTATTTGAGTTGAGCTGATGAGAGTCGTTATGGAAGCATATTACAAAAAAATATGCTATGAAGATGATGAGTTTTAAAGAAAGGCAGTCATGGGTTACCAAGCTGTCGCCCCCCCCCCCCCTGAGGCCAAAGCAGTAAATAATGAGGGATGGAAAAGGCATTTCTTACCTTGATTATGCGTTCTTTAGGCTTTTCACTGAATAATATATAAAATGGTTTTATAGGACCAGTTTAAACTGCTGTTTGTCTCTTCATGTACAGTATGTCAACTATGCACATTGCTGGACAATGAAACCATGATGACAAATGATGAAGAAAAAAGGTTGTGTTGCTATATTATTAAATAAAAAATGTATTGCAGCATTCGCAAGACTGCAATGCAATACATTGAATCTGAATCATTTTACATTTAATTCATTGTGAAACATGAGGGAATGCCATTCCTAACATGAACCACAAAATACTATAAATGAGCCAATTTGGCACTGAGGGATGTGTTTTTCTTCCTAAACTGCTGAGTGCTGGAGCTCAGTTGAGTTTTTTTGTCTCTCTGGAGTCTCACAGCCTGAGGGTTTGATAACAGCTTAAGGTTATATTCTACACTTTATTCAATTTAATGCTAAGCAATGTTTTGCCAACATTAAATAAGAACCTTACAGGTGCACGTTATAATGTGACTGGCACAGGAAAACCTGCGAGTTCTGGAGAGTAGTGTTTACTCATTTTTAAAGGGGTACTTCAGTTAAAACCATCTTTAGTCACCTCCTAATTTAAGTTACACGTCAGCCTGATAATGACAATGTGACATGTATAAATGTCGTGTGTATGTTACTTTGCAGTATATTTTTCTGTCCAGCTCAAAGATGTCGGCTCACTTTGCTTCCCTCGGCTTTACCAATTTCCTTTTTTGTTTTTCGTTCCGTTTCATCTGCTTCTCTTCAGCCGAATCCACATTTGTTTGTGATGTTGTCGGGTTCGGCAAACTTTTCACCCCACAGTCAAAACTAATTTGCGTCACCGTTGTCTCTAAAACAGATGCCAGAGCGCACGCAAGTAAATGCACCAACACGAGTTTAGTGTTTGTCTGGTTCACTAATGCAGCAAATATTTCAAATGTGTTTATTTTGTGGTGCTTGTTTTCAGGAACAAAGAGTACTTTATATACAAGAAAGTGATGTGTCAACCTGGATGGATTTTGTGATTCACGTGGGGTTTCCCTAGTTTTCCATTTGCTTGTTTTAGCCTGTCTGGCTGTAGCTTCCTTCCCTTACAAGTAATTACTAGTGTTCATGATAATGCTATACTTGTTGGGTTTACATATTTAGAAACGCAGGACTTCACAGTTGTCATTTTTATGTTGTTTAGTTGAAATGAGCCTCGATGTTGCAAGTTTGGTTTCCCGACAGTGGAGATGTGGAAGTTGTGCTTTCTCAGCTGTTCTCTCTGGTTGTGGACATGTGAGGTAGAAAATGTAAGTCACGAGGTCATCATGACTAATCCTAACCTCACACACAGACCCTTTTTTTTTTTCATCCTTGCACTTTCTTTCCCACCACCACCATGCTGACCCATGCCTAATTCTTTCCGACACCCATCCGCCTTTATAAAGCAGGACCTCTTGTTTTCTCCGCCCCTCTTGAACCGCGGTGTCACAGAGGACGTTCAGCCATCCGTGACTGGGTGGAAGTCACCTGTGATTGTTTAGTTTGTCAGGTGACTGCTATGTTTATGTCAGCCTGCTTCCTTGCTTCAGTTACAGCTGTAGAGTCATTAGTGAGATCTCTTCTGGTTCGCAGTGTTAGCATTTTGTGTATGTATTCACCAGAGCTCATGTTGTAAGGAAGCACATTGTTGGAGCATGTGGACGGGATATTTATCTCTAGATTGAGCCACATGTTTGTGTTTATGAAGAAACGTATAAAGTAATTGATCATCTGATATATCAGTACAGTCCTCTCCAGGAAACTTCCCCAGAAATAACAGCTACGCATCAAATCCTTTCTTGGGAGTTACTGAGAATCTAATGACCCCCTAAAATAAAGCACTATCAAAACACAGTGGAATAAAGATAAACAGTGGAAACTTTGACAAAACCAAATGGAGGCCTCGCCATATTTTCTGATCTACTTTAACCTGAAGTCTGTACAAAACATAATGGCAGGCCCTTAGTGCCGGGCTTTAAAAGAAGTGTGGTTTGAAGGCTAACTGTACACGGTTCCACAGTGACACGTGCACAGGTTTGGTCATTTGTGGATCTGAATTACGTGAACCTCCTATGCAGAGCGTCACAATGAAAACAAGACTTACTGGAAGACAGAAAACCCAAACTCATTCACTAACCACTCTGTCTAACCTCAGAGACTGAACAGCACTTTGCAAGCACACATATTAACACACATACTGTATACTCTGTATACCATACGTACACATGTACACGCTCTCAGGCACGTTTGCTGCATGCTCTCAGGCACGTTTGCTGCATACTCTCGTTCTTTCTCTATAAGGTTCCTTTCACTATTACACACACACACACACACACACAGGCACACACATGCTAATGTGCACAGTGCACTTCTAGGAAGAGTTGATTTACATTAAGTCTGCTTTTACAGCTCTTTACCCAAAACCCTGAACGTGTGTTCAGCCTTTAACCTATGCCATTAGCCAGTGCCCATAGACAGGCTGGAGGTTAATGGTCAGGGCCTTTGTCAAAGGTGATAGCAATGCTAACGTACCGCTTAAAGTGGGAGAATCCCTGATGCAGATGGTCCAATTATTCCAGGCTTACGGTCCAATCATGCGTTGACTTTTAAAACTTTGCAACTCCACAGACTCTACAGCTGATCCATAATTACATCCTTATTTTGCACAGGCAGGCATAGATCAAACCCATCAAACTTCTCCTCAGAATCCAATTGCTTCTCAAGATATTAAATGTGCAATGTACAAGGAAATATTTATCAATTTGTTTCACTCTGAAGCTACACTGCCTCTGGATTTTATATTATTATTTAGACAGTCATTTTGTTTTCCTTGACTTGTTTCTTACAGCAAGCCAGTGAATGAATTAGTCTGCATTTCTCAGTTACTTCCTCTTAAGGATCTCGAACACTATCGAACACATCGTATCGTATTGTCAGTGGCCTAGTTTAAAGGAGGAAGTTAAAGGTTCATTTGAAGGCTTGTTAATAGGTGCACACTTTTCTTCTGGGAGTGTGTGCTCCACCTGATCCACTTTAGTTTTAAATTAGCTCTGTAAAGTATTTTTTAACCAAATAACTGCAGTTTTTATAATATCTATCAGTTTAGACCTACTCCACCTTTTGTTTACATTGGCAGTTACGCATTGTGTCAACAATAGTGTCTACAATATGCTTGCACTTACAAAAATATATTAGTGATGCATTATTTCCAGCAGCATGGCAAAGGTACCATATGTAGCTTTTTAAACATGCGCAGTTGTAACCATAACAGCCCAGGATCAGCTGATGTTTGCACATCTGGAACCAGGAGTCAGTGATGACTGGAATCATGAACCGAATAGGAAATGAAATTGGAATGATTACAAGATCTAAACAATGACAAATTCTGCTCATATGTGGTCTCAAGCGGCCACATTACGACTGTCGTAGAGTGGAGTGCATATGCGCATGTAAACGATGAGACGACATGTCTGAGTGTTTGTGTGTTGTCTGTGAAAACAGGCACGGATCCAGCCTTCTATGGGCTGGGATGCAATGAGGTGTGTTTGAGTATTTAAAAGAAGCTCATCAATGATTCATTCCTCCCTGTTGACGCTCTGTGGCGCCCGCACACACACACACACACACACACACACACACACACACACACACACACACACACACACACACACAGAGGATTCCCACTCATACCATGATGACACCATGGACAGGCGCCACTCGGTCTCTTAGAGTCTGACTCCCCTTCGGTCCGGCAGAGATGGACATTACAGTACCTTCACCGTGCTGACTTGATATCATGTATTCCTGGAAGTTGGGTGTGCAAATGGACCCCTCTATTCCCTTTTGTTCAGGAGATAAATCACATTAGTTCTGTTTTTGAATCATATATTCTTAAACAGTTAATATTGCTTTTCTGTCAGAAAAAACAAATGTTACGACACTGTCTTTGATCAGTATCTTTGATTTGTTGAACTAGCCCATTTCCAAACAGATTCCCAGAATATATATACAGTATATATATATATTATTTTTTTTCAACAATCGCGGCCCCAGTTCCAGTAACTGGGGATGACCATCTATGATGAAGTATTTGTGTGTAATTGTGCACAGATATAGAAGTAGTGTGTGATGCCTGGAAGACTCTGAACATGCACATTTGCAGCTTGCACTTGACCTGTTAATGCATTCATGACCACTTCATCTGTCTTCTTCTTACTTAAGCTGTTAAGAATGATTTTTTTTAGTATGGGTGCATGGGAAATCAAATCTCTTTCAATCTTGATTAACGCAAGAAAGCTGAATTGTGTGTTTCGACAGGTTTAACTGTCGACTTGAGTCTGTGACCCAATTAGCTAATTAGACAACATTAGAGATGCTAATTTTTTCTCTGACAGATAGCCCACCCTTGTTGACCGATCAATAACCGACAGGATTAGCGCCTCCCATGCAGCGATGCTGTGGTTGAGGTTCCTTAAGAGCTGCAACGATAACCGATGCACAAACAGGCTGAATCCATCATTTGTTGCAGCGTATGCGCAAAACACACACATCTGAGTCCCCAGTTCACCTGTACGGGAGAGTTAGCAGCTACAATGTCAACTGCATTGTTGTGGACACACGTCAGCTGAGTGTCTGCCTGGTATCGGCCACTCGGTCTGGGTTTCAGAACAGCAACGTTATAGCTTTAAACGTAGCAGTGTGTGTGAACAGTTTATTTGTCTGTAAATAAATAATACGACTCATCAAGACTCAAGCTAAGTTCCCGTATCTTGCATGCAAGCCACCTGCTGATTAAAATAAAGGTGGTTATTCTCCTTTGAGTGACAAACTACTCTTCTAAATTAAACAAACAACATTTAATTTAATTGTAACTGTTGAACTGTTTAATCAGTGTCAATGCTTGTTGGTTCACTGTTCATTATTAACATCCCATTGCTTCCTCCTTATGAGCTATGGATCATCATATGATTCAAATTGAGCCTGTGCAGACAAATAGGACGACAAAAAGCGAGTCTGAAGTAAGACAGGCAGTCTGTCTCTAAATATAATAATCATTAAACAGTGGTCCAGGCCCATTAAACATAGCGGTAAGCGGCGGGGTGTGAGGAGCGGCCGTGTCCACAGCACAGCACTGTTTACACTACAAATGCGGTTGAGTTACACCATGTACAGTAAAATGGGCCCGACTGCCAGTAACTCTAGTCACTTACCAACAAAAGCATCATTTCCTGAAAGCTCCTCCCTCCTCCCTCCCTCTTCTCCCCACCTCTCCCCTCCCCTCCTCTGCTCTCTCTCACTCACTCTCCAACCACCTTTCTTTTTCTTTTTTTTTGCGCTATAAGGAACTAGTCCACAATCACTATTACTGAGCCCTCTATGCAAATACCTGAACGTCCTGCTGAAGCAGGAACTATGTTTTAGACGTGCCCGTGTCTCCGTCTGTGAGCTCATTGCCTCGAGCGTACCTGAGGTGGAGGCAGATGTGTGTGTGTTTGAACCAGAGAGGAACTGTGATTAGTGAGAGTCCACTCTTGGGTGGAAGTGCACCAGCTGTGAGGTGAATTACCAACACTTTGACCAACACATGGACGAGGCTGTCGCATTCAGGGATCCAAGGTGAAGCAGGAGTTTATGCTTCTTTTAACCCCCCCACCCCCCCCACAGACTGCAGCGTCTGGACCCATGTCTCTCATGCAGCTCTGGACTAAATTGTATTCACAGCTGGGACGACCGCTTCCCAAGGTACTGTTTGCTTCTTTTATGTATTACACAAAATCAAGTCTTGTTTTAGGACTTTTTGTTTTTTTGTTTTAGATGTCACAGTCGGTAATGAATCTGTTGAATAAGGAATTGTGCTGAACTGAAAGCTGCTTGTGTGAAGAGTTGTATTGTCCTTATCGAGGGACGTCTAGATATGACGAGTAAGCACTTCATTATCCACTTATGGCTGTGTTTTTAATTTTTAACTTCCTTGAATGAATTGTGAAAATAATTCCGTAATATCAGAACACTAATGGAGGAAGGCCTGTGAACTTGTGTCTAGAGCTTGGCCCACTTTGGAATTAAAATAACACATTACGTTTTAATGAAAAGTTAGTGGCAAGTTACAGAGCTCAACTATATAAAAGTCAAGATTTTGAATTAGTTTTTCATTTTTGTTTACAAAGGCTGGTTTCCTGAGTCACATCCTAAACTAAAGAACATTTTTCAACATCCATTTAATTTGATTTTAAAGTAGGACTAGGCTTAATTCCTGATACAGACACAATTCTAGTCTCCTTGTTTATTATTTGCATACAACACTCACACGTTTGCTGTGTATTGAAAGAGAAAAACGCCAAAGAAAGTAACCCAGGCTCACTATTGAAAGTTGTCCCATCAGCATGTCAGGCTGTGACTTTCTTAGCTGGCAGGCCAGAGTCAGTCACCCTCTGAAACTCCAGCCAGGAACTATGACAAATGATTATCTGCCTCAGTCCTCGCCTTCTTCCAGTAAGTGCGAGAACCTGATATGTCGTCAGGCTAAACAGCACTCTTGTCTGTTTACTGGATGGCTGTTAAATACGGCCATTGTTGGACTGCACTGTAAATAGAACTGCATTGCTTTTTCTTTATTGTTGGTGTTCGTGGAATTGAAGCTCAAAATCTGTTTCATGTCTTTATTAGTGCGAGGCTTGCTGAACCCATTTTCAGCATTTTCTGGGTGGTTCAAGTAGTTTTTTTTTTTTTCTTCTTAGATGAGAAAGTCAGTTTCTTTGTAGTCCTGTCTGACATTAACTCAGGCTACCATTGATCCTGTAACATTGGACCATTTGCTTCTGTTTCTCACCGACAAGCTGATGTTTTTGTCCATAACATGTAGTTAGTATCCTACGTCAACATCTTCATCAGTGTGTACTTATCAACTCATGTAACAAAATCTGTTCTTAAGCCTTTAAGGATAGGTTCACAATTTTCTTCCCAATTTGAAAAACATTGAAAGAATGTGTTCCAAACTTTTACTGAAGCTAATCTGAGGCTTCAGCAGTCAGTTAGTGTGTTTCTTCCAAAGCTACACTCATTTTTTTTTAGTGCAATCTTCCTGACTATTGTTTTAAGATGGACTTAAATAAACCTGTGAACCCGTCCTTTAAGACCTGGGGGTGCAGCACGGCAGCCTCTTGGTGGGCACATGTTGTCAGTTTCCTGGTATTACGCTAACCCTCAAGCATGACCTCGACGTGCAGCTTACAGGAAGTGAATAAAAAATGATGGTGAGGATGAGTGAGAGCATGGGGGGGGGGCTGATGCAGTCAATGATGATGAGTGGTGGTGGTGAGAATGGGGGAGCGAGAAAATAGAGCATGGATGCCAGAAATGCAGATTTCTTAAGCTGAAAATGAATTAAAAGACGCCACCTTGCTTATCTTGCATGCCCTCTTTACCAACATGTTGCCATGTCAGCACTAATTACACCTATTCCATAAGTGTTGTGGTAAATATATCGCAAATCAATGCCAATTATAATTGCAGCAGTGGAATAACTCAGTGTGGTGCGAGGTGAAGAGACGACATAACGGGGGGGAAATCCTCGCTAATTGTAGCCGGCTGTTAAAACCAATTCATGCAGTAAATCTGTCAGGTCTGACTTTATTCAGACAACAGGACAGCCGCTGCATCAGCAGGAAGATGTCACAGAACAGGTTTCATCTAGTTTCACCATTAATTAATTTCAGTTTTCATGGATCAGTGGTCGCCTGTAGTGATGGCAAAACGGGAATATTCCACTCAGCAGTCCTCGAGTCCACATTGTTGTCTTAACGTCTTGAGTTTAGAACTTCAAGAAATAATCAGATGGGTATTTTAAATTGTGTCCAAAAAGATCTATTACGCTGCAACTGAATGGTTACGACATATACGGTGTGATTGAAAGGTCCTCAGTTTGATTTTGGCTAAAGACCTTTGTCCTTCTGTGTCGTTGTTCCTGTGTCTATACTGTTAAAAAAGCGCAAAACTGTGAAATAAATAAATCAAGGTTCAGTGGGTCTGTAGTGCATTTACTGTAGAATAATTAAATATTGTTATGAGCTGGAGTTTTGTTTATTTGTTCATCTCTTTTTGTTCTCTTGGTGGGATGTGACAGCCTCCTATTGCAGGAGGCATGCCAGTTGTTAAAAGTGAAACGTGTACCATATAAATATATAGTACCATATAAATATATACAGTACCATATAAATATAGTATTGTAGTGCTGTAGAGATGTCCTGGCATATTGATTTGCATATTGATCACACTAAATATTGATTGTAACTGGGTTTTAGGGTTCTTTTAACTTGGGATCGTTCACAGGATAATCAGCCGGCACGCAGCTGTCATGATGATGATAAAGAAGTGTAGTCAAAGTGTCTGGTGTCCCAGCTCAAGGTTGTAAAAGAGTAAATACCCTCCTCAGTTATCAGCAACTTACGGGCAACGAGCCCACCTTCCTGAGTCGCAGCGTGATCGTAGTCCACTGACCACAGGTGTGTGAAAGCGGTGGGTGACAACAGAGAGCGGGGTTATTTAAGGTAATGAGAACCTGTGAATACACACTTCAACTACAAACCCCTCTCGTCATCTACATTTGGTCTCCCACATAGAGTGAGAATAAATAGGACGTAGTAAAACGGTAATATGCGTCTACGAATTAACACACGGATATCAATGTGAGAAACTCAAGACTCTAGTCTAAAGGGTCTATTATTAGAGCTGAGCAGAGGTTAAAGAGAAGTTTGCAGGAGTTTATTTTTTTTTTTTGCACGCGACAGCGTCTGCCTGAGTGCTGCGGTATGTCGCAATTTCTGCTTAACTGAGACGTCATCTTGCGTCAACACTCCCCTCACATCCACTTTTCTCAGCACTGACGACCCAGGCTCACACATGCAATAAGTTTATCACACATAAACACACACGTAGTTTGAGACCGTGTGAGTCATTTTCAGAGTTCTTTGTTGGTAGTGTTATTTTAATTTCACAATCGCAAATCCTTTTCCGGAAGCCCACCATATTTCTTTGCATTCATGTCGGTTCTTTTTTGTCAGTTTAAGATACAGGTTTAAACTACTCAGACACACCTTCTGTGAATGCCAGCCCATCCTTATTGCACCCTTCTGTGGGCGACTTCCTCTTGGGACCACTCCAAAAACAAAGCAGATGAAATCTCTCTTTTTCTGGCTCTTTCCTCTGTTCTTTTATTATTTTCTCAGCTTTTCACTCGTTGAACTCTGCTTGTCCCTCTTTGCCGGAGAAAGAAATCTAAATTTGCCAGATAGATTTATTTTTCTGGCGGTACCACGTGGATCGTAGAGCCTCGTTACTTTCTAGGAGTTGGCTCAGTATTAGTTTCAGGCCCTCCCACACACACACACACACACACACACACACACAGCGGAGCAGTTCTTTGAACCAGCCCCGTCGTTGGGCTGCCAGCTGGGACACTTGACATGGCAACCTTTATATTTTCCAGAACATATGGAAACACTGGAAAATTCCAGGTGGCTTGTAAGCAGCAAGCAGTCCCTGGCTGGCTTTTACTCAGACTTGGCACCACATGAAGGCCTTCCTGTCCGGCGGTCGCTGGACTGGCTGTGCCACTCTGATTGGCCTCATTTAGATGGTCGGGGTGAGACAAGACTTAACAATAATGGTCTTTTGACACCACGGCTATCACAATGTAAATGCAATGAAAATGGATCACCTCTCTTATTATTACTCTAGCTCCTCAAAATAAAATTCGCTAATTTAATTTCAGCCCAGCTGTCGAGGAGAGTCAACCTGGGTCTTAAGAAAAGAAAACATCTAAATTATTTTAATCTACACTAGAAAGCATCAGTTTGGACTTGAGACCTGAGACTTTTCGTTTGAATGTATTTTTTGGCCTGAGCCTGTGTGACTAAAGGGTTCAAAACAAGTTGTGAGGCTTTTCCATGTGTTCTCATAAAGAAACGATGGCTTTTTGACAAATTGGCTCCTCGATCAAAGCCCTGTGACAGGATAAGCTGATTTATGTCTGCATGTCTTCGAGCGTCGTTTTTGGATACAAAGACAAGCTTCTACTGTCCACAAAAGACTCGGGTGTGCTCAACTATCATGCACCACAGCAAATCAATTCAATACTGAATTCAAAAGAGGTCTGACTGCTACCGGTCTTCTCAATACACGGGGAGGGGGGGGGGAGGGGGGGACTTTTGTCTTAAACAAAAGTCGGCCAATTCAACAACTGAAAATTGGCTTGGTACGATTTCTTGAAATAAGATGTAATATTTAGACCTTTCAAGATCAAAACACATCTTGAAACTGGCTGGGAAAACTCATTTCGAGCTGTATTTTAGGAGTATAAGGAAGTGTTATGTGTCGTAACACCCCTGTATTGCTCAAAAGTGGTATTTTTTCACATAGCAATATATTTGCAATGTCTAGAACTGAAAGGTTACTTGTTAGGTGTCTTGTATCAACTGTTTTGACTCGTAAATAGACAAATATATTTGGTAAGACTTTGAGTTTTTGCAGAGCTGGTTTGCCAAAAATGCAGTGTCTGCTTGAAGCTGTGCTATTAAAGCCCCAACAGATATGTCAGGGATGTGGGACACGCAGACATCTTGGCATAACATAATCCAGACAGAAAGCGAGACACACCGGTGGTGGCTTTTCAGTTCCAGACCCACCGCATGAAAAGACACACACACACGCACACACACACACGCACGCACGCACGCACACACACA